AAAAATTGTTTTCATAATTCCGCTATTAGTTTATTTTACGCGATTAATTACCCACGCGCGATTACGAGATATGCCAGACACGCAAAAGTGAAGTCATTGTTTAGGCGATCTATCTTTCGTTGCAGAAAAGAGATGAGGACGGAAAAGTGCTCTGTTCGGCTATCGATTTTTACTCGCATTCCTTCTATTGGCGTCGTTAACACTAACAATAAACAATTAGCAACGCGATACGCGCCTATTAAGATATTTAATCTGACACTGCGGATGTGAAAAGGCAAGTTCTCAGGAAAAAAAGTATCAATTTCATTCCTTAAATAAATCTTAATTTCAAGCATTAATTGGTTATATGGGAATGAAGGGCTGTTTTCTGTCACCATCACCATCAGTCATGTCAATGTAAAATAAATAAAATAAATAAAATAAATAAAATAAATAAAATAAATAAAATAAATAAAATAAATAAAATAAATAAAATAAATAAAATAAGTAAAATAAATAAAATAAATAAAATGAATAAAATGAATAAAATAAATAAAATAAATAAAATAAATAAAATAAATAAAAATGACACATTTGTATTAAAAAACCGAATCCTTTTTGCGTTTCTGTGACCCTCATACAATTTCCACGTCTACTGCACTTCTGGAATCCTGATACAAGAAAATAAATAGAACAAGAGAGAGAAACACAACAAGTGTGCTCCAATAAGTTTTACACACAAGAACCAGCAGAACTCCAAGTCACAGGATAACTTTCTAAAAATCCTGACACAAAACAAGCCCTGAAACCTAAGACTCCTAGCTGTTCTTTAACGGAAGCTCATAAAACCTGAAAGTACTAGCCCCTGAGCACCCTAAAAATTGCAACAAAGATCTTATGCGGTCTCGGTATTAAAAGATGCATAGATCCATAAGAAACCTGAGGCGTCCAACCAGAACTCTATCAGTCCTAATATTATTTAATTTATTTTATTTAGGGACGCTCTTACAAGCAGCAAAGTCCCCAAGATTCGCAGAATACCAAGGGGCTGCAAAAGTAAAATAAATAAAATAAGGGGACGTAGAGTCAACGAAACTTTGAATTCTGAGAGCGCGTAAGGGGGGGGGGGGGGGGAATGGCCCATGTCCCATTATTTACAAGTGAAAGTGAAGAGACTAAATTTTTTACATTAATTTAAATATAAACGTCTTTACATAAATTCATATGTATGATTTGTATTCTAAATAATCGGCCGGGCGGTCTGGGGGGTATGGAATAGCTCCATCTCCAAGAGAGTAGTTTAATTTTGAGTTATTACCTTCTTTTAGGTGGGGGTCAATACACCCTAGCCATCAGAGAATAGTTTAATTTTGAGTTACTCATTTTTGGGTGGAGGGTACTCCATGGATTTATATTCTGAATAAGAGGAATATACCACCGGGGAGTCTGGGGGCTATGGAATAGCTCCATCTCCACGAAAGCAGTTAAAATTTTAGTGACTCTCTTTTGGGGTTGGGAATTCCATGGATTTCGTACTTTTTCGATCAGACTTCTCAATCAAAAGTTATAAGACTAGAAACCAATTTCGAAAAAAAATTCAAAGGGCTGTAACTTTTGAACTAGTAGCCCAATCTTGGAACTGTTTGAAATTATGGATTCTACAGGCCACGTTTTATAAGAAAATTTTTTTTCCGGGTCGATCTGAGACAATTTTTTTTCGGGGCCCGAAAAAGGCAGTGTATAACCTTCCTTTTTTACCAAAAATCGACTACACCAAAATTTCTCGGGAAAACACTTTTTCTTATTAATTCGAGTGCCTAGAATCCAAATCAATTCGTACTTTTTCGATCAGACTTCTCAATCAAAGTTATAGACTAGAAACCAATTTCGAAAAAAAATTCAAAGGGCTGTAACTTTTGAACTAGTAGCCCAATCTTGGAACTGTTTGAAATTATGGATTCTACAGGCCACATTCTATAAGAAAATTTTTTTTCCGGGTCGATCTGAGACAATTTTTTTTTCGGGGCTCAAAAAAAGGCAGTGTATAACCTTCCTTTTTTACTAAAAATCGACTGCACCAAAATTTCTCGGGAAAACACTTTTTCTTATTAATTTTGGTGCGTAGAATCCAAAACAATTCGTACTTTTTCGATCAGACTTCTCAATCAAAAGTTATAGACTTAGAAACCAATTTCGAAAAAAAATTCAAAGGGCTGTAACTTTTGAACTAGTAGCCCAATCTTGGAACTGTTTGAAATTATGGATTCTACAGGCCACGTTTTATAAGAAAATTTTTTTCCGGGTCGATCTGAGACAATTTTTTTTTCGGGGCCCAAAAAAGGCAGTGTATAACCTTCCTTTTTTACCAAAAATCGACTACACCAAAATTTCTCGGGAAAACACTTTTTCTTATTAATTCGAGTGCCTAGAATCCAAATCAATTCGTACTTTTTCGATCAGACTTCTCAATCAAAAGTTATAGACTAGAAAGCAATTTCGAAAAAAAATTCAAAGGGCTGTAACTTTTGAACTAGTGCCCAATCTTGGAACTGTTTGAAATTATGGATTCTACAGGCCACATTTTATAAGAAAATTTTTTTCCGGGTCGATCTGAGACAATTTTTTTTTCGGGGCTCAAAAAAGGCAGTGTATAACCTTCCTTTTTTACCAAAAATCGACTACACCTAAATATCTCGGAAAAACACTTTTTCTTATTAATTCGGGTGCGTAGAATCCAAAACAATTCGCACTTTTTCGATCAAAAGTTATAGACTAGAAACCAATTTCGAAAAAAAATTCAAAGGGCTGTAACTTTTGAACTAGTAGCCCAATCTTGGAACTGATTGAAATTATGGATTCTATAGGCCACATTCTATAAGAAAATTTTTTTTCCGGGCGATCCGGAGACAATTTTTTTTCGGGGCTCAAAAAAAGGCCGTGTATAACCAGGGGCGGACTGGCCCGGGGGGGGGGGGTGGCGATTGCCACCTGGCCTGTAGATCATAATGGCCCGTTGGAAATTTATAAGTACGTGCTCTATTTAGTTTCTTCCACCTGGCCCGTACGTACCCAGTCCGCCCCTGCACAAGAGAGTAGTTTAATTTAGAGGAGATATTAATTTGTATTCTGAATAATCGGCATATACCTCCGGGCGGTCTGGGGTGGAGGGGGGGATGGAATACCCACACACCCCTCGGTGATATACGTTCCCTTATCGTTATAATATAATTCTACGGCACGTGTGTTTGTGGCTTAACTCCTCCTAAACGACTGGGGCGATTTTCGTGATTTTTTTTCAATGTGTCTCTGTGTCTCCCCGGATGGTTTACATTCACAATTAGGTCCGCATACTCCCAGACAAACCCCCCCGGTGGTAAATGTCCCCTTATTAATGAGATCCTATCGAGTTTATAATTTTGCGATGTCTGTACGTCTGTCCGTTAGCACGATATCTTGAAAACGAATAGACCGATTACCATGAAATTTTGCAGGTGGATTCTTTATCAAATTTGACAATATACCTAGGTCAAAAAATAACGAAAGCCCTTTTGACATCTCCGTTAGTTATGAGTCGAATTGCATGAAATTCAATATGGGCATAGCTTTAGCCATACAAAACGCAATGCCAAAAGTGCCCTTATCACATCTCGGTCATTTATGAACCGAATTGTAAATTTTTTATTTATAAAGATATTTATTTAAATGAAATGTTTGATACAATAAAAGCAAACTTAACACCAGGGGGTCGTTCGTGTTACGTGTATTTACAATAAAAATCGTAATTCTAATTCAATACAATTTCAATTAATTAAACTGCACAGGGTGGTTCAAATTCGTGGCTCACCATTGGCGTTTCCCTAGCGGTGAAAGATACAGTGTAGGTTAAATGGGGGCAAAGTTGATCTTTTTTGTGACTAAAAGACGAATTTTTGAAAATAACGGAGATATCACCGAAAATATCAAATTTCGTTTTCTTTTTTCCTATCTTAAATGCTCGGAAATGGGCGGTTGCCGTTGTCACTTGCTATTATGACGTGCACTTTTTCTCGGAGAATCCGAATTTTCATAGTACGCTAGATGTGGAAGCTACAGGTTACTACTTTCTTATTTCTTATGGGCGCCATATTGGATTTTTACAGAATGAGATAGAGCACGAAACAAGGAAAATAATGACGTAGGTGCCATGAATTCACAAGCAAAATTTCAAAATCAAATGTTTTACGAACGAAACATCCATGGGTAACTAGATCTTACAGAATCAACATGCATAAGTTGGCTGTGCGTTAAAACGAATTTCTTTTTTTTCCTCCGTAAAAATCAAACATGGCGTCCGTAAGAAACAAAAATTGTGATAAAGATTTTTCAAAAATTTCAAATTCGTTTTTTAGTTTCAAAATCCTACCCTACACTGTATACATTTTTTTGAAATGAAATCTAGAAATCGCATCACAAGTTGCAATTAGACGTTTTTAAGGATCTTTTCCAAACTTATTTAGTTCTAATTTGGGTGGGAAAATATGCAAACTGGTTTTTCAAACAAACTTCTTCATGGAGAGAACGCGCCCCATTCAAATTTTTAGTGGGCGGCAATTCTGTAACAAAAAAGGGTAAAAGTCTCGCGCATCTGTCGCTAATATTCGGCGTCTTTTGAAAAATTGAGTTATTGTAATATGCCCCGGTTTGTACGTCGCATCAAGTGGCATACACTTGTGTCCACCCCTTTCGCATATTTAAAGCGCGGCGAAAAAAGGTCGGTCAGTCGCGAAACGTTAATTACGCGCCGTCTTATCCCTTTCAACGGACGTCAACCCCTCGCAACTCGACACCCTCTTTTCGCGACCGAATTTCAAAAGAGAAACTTCCCACCCCTCGCCGCGACGCAGGTAAAATACGCGTAATCGCAATCATGAATGAATCTGTCGCACGCACCTCCGCTGAAATTGGCATCGGAACCACCTCCTCCCCCACGTGCCCGCGCTTAAACGTAAGTAAATCGTACGCGTACAACGCGCGGCGACGACGACGGCGACGGCCGCGCGTACTCGAAAACGGCGGAATCCGTAATTGTACAATTTTAAGCTGAATGTACCTATTCAGAAAGTGAGCCAATATAATTTCAGAATATAACTGAATTTTTCGGGGTCTCGGGTAGGGAGGATCGGCTGGTGGGGGCAAAGCGGCATTTTAAATTGAAAATAGTAGTCAGTCGGTTGGCAGCCGCTGTTGATCGAGTTTAAAATTTACTTTTGTTAACCTTTTATTTATTTTTGTTATCATTTTCCACCACCGAAAGGCTTAGTGCACCCCATTTTTTTTTCGAAATTGTGCGATTCGCCCGAACTGTGTTAGTGCAAAGTGCGCGGCGTATACAGTGCGTGACAATTTTTTTTTGCAAATGTGGGAAAATCACGTGTACGCAAAAAAGTTGCGTTTAAAGGTAGGGCCCTTTTGTGTTTTTTTTTTCGAAAAACTCGAGGCGCGCGAAAAGATACGCGTGACGGACGGATTCGAGTCGGCCGTCACTGAATAATCGATTAAGCGTGCCCTTAAGGGTTATTTATTGCGCGAGATCGGTGACAAATTTCCGAGGCGCCGAGGTTTTTTTAAAATAAAAAAAACTAGGCCCGAATCGCTCACGTAAGCGCGCCTTATGGCGGATTTTGCAATGACAACAGTTTTTTTTACGTTATCCCTTTCTTGGCAAAGCGACCGCGGAAAATACTAGCGGTATCGATGAGTCCGCAGAGTAGAAAATGCTTTTTGGCACCGGACACTTTTGGATTTCGAGCGTGACATTTTCACGCGTTGGCGTAATTGTCTACGTACCAAATCACTGGTCGTTCTCGAATGGAAACTAAAACGAAATTCTTTACTTATTGGGGGAAAGCTTCAGGCGATTGTCTGTCCGTCCATTCGTGCGTATTTTGGAAAACTCATGATCTCACTGCCTAGGCAACTTCACAAAAAAGTTCAATTGTTTTTCCGCCTAGGCCATCTTCCAATTTCTTTACGTATCAAAAATACCAAAATCGTTCAAGGAATTGATAGCAGTCCAAATTTGAGTAACCCACTTCTGCTCTTTTTTGAGTTTTGAATTTTAATGAGCCGTAGTTGCATACCACCACAAAATAAAAATCGGTAAATCTAATTGTTTCAGACAATTTGTACGCCCGTAAAGTTCTAAAGTACTCGATAATTTGTAGAAGTCGTCCAATTTGAAGTTCATGGTTCTAAAAATATCCACGAGCAGATTCGAAAATGTGTAATTCCACCTTTATTTGCATCACAACGAATTGCGAAGCGAATTTGTTCCACAGTTCGAATAATGCCTATCATACCGACCAAGCGTTTTTATTAGATCTGCAGATTTGAACACAAAAGCCGACTTTTTTCGTTTAAAATTTAGTTTAGATCTCTTGGAAGAAGTTAAAGTTAAACTCGACTTGCAAATTTTGTATAGAAATTAGTTCTAAAACCTTTTTGTCCTAATCTCAGCATTGGATCTACTAGTTAATGAAATGATCTACTAACTTATACTTAAAAGAACCTTCTCATAAAAGTTCAGAAATAGATACATTTGGGACGATTACTTTAGTTCTAAAAGTTATAGAAATTGTAAAATTAACAGTGTTTTTTAGAACAATGTCCCAAAATTGACCTAATAGAAGGATATACTTGTTTAGACCCAATGGTTCTAAAATACTGCCTTTACAAATCCGGCCAATTCTCCTCTGGAACAGTTCACCAAGGAACTGCGAACGGTTCGAACTTTTTCATTCTAAATTCGGGCTTACTACTTACTTCTAATAATAGGTAACTGGTAGATGCCATAACAGTCAGTTCTCATTAGATACAGATTGTTGCATCTCAAAAACTACGAAGGAAAAAGCGTTTTCAGCCTTCTAGTTCTAATAGTACCTACGGTGGTAGCCGTGATGCCAGACAGTTCTAATTAGAGCTACTGAAATCTGTAATTCCAACTGTCGTTATTATATTTGCATCTCAAAGAACTGCTGAGGTGCTGGCTTTTCTCGTCCTAAATTGAGCGTTGTAGTTCTAATACTACGATAAAAGCCGAAAAAGTAGCTAGTTTTAGTTAGATCTGCAGATTGGAAAATTTTCATTTGTACCCCAAAGAATTACGGGCGGAACTCGGGGCCGAAAAATGAGACAATGGTATTTTTCGTTCTAAATTTAGTGTTTTAGTTCTAATACTACGATAAAAGCCGAAAAAATAGCTAGTTTTAATTAGATCGGTAGATTTAAAAAATGTGTAGTTCTAATTTTTTATTTGTACATTGTATCTGTACATTCAAAAAATGTGTAGTTCTAATTTTTTATTTGTACCCCAAAGAAATGCGAACGGACTGATAATGTACCGGAACTTTAGTTCTAAATTCAGCCTAAAAGTTCTAATATATACGATAAAAGCCGAGGTAGTCGCTAGTTCTAGTTAGATCTGTAGATTCAAAAAATGTGTAGGTCTAATTTGTATCCCAAAGAACTGCGAACGGATTGATAATGTACCGGAAATTTTAGTTCTAAATTCAGCCTAATAGTTCTAATAATATCTACGATAAAAGCCGAGGTAGTCGCTAGTTCTAGTTAGATCTGTAGATTCAAAAATGTGTAGTACCCCAAAGAACTGCGAACGGATTGATAATGTACCGGAAATTTTGGTTCTAAATTAAGCCTTGTAGTTCTAATAATATTTACGATAAAAGCCGTTGTAGTCGCTAGTTCTAGTTAGATCTGTAGAATCAAAAAATGTGTAGTTCTAATTTGTACTCCCAAAGAACTGCGAACGGATTGATAATGTACCGGAAATTTTAGTTCTAAATTCAGCCTAGTAGTTCTAATAATATCTACGATAAAAGCCGAGGTAGTCGCTAGTTCTAGTTAGATCTGTAGATTCAAAAATGTGTAGTACCCCAAAGAACTGCGAACGGATTGATAATGTACCGGAAATTTTGGTTCTAAATTAAGCCTTGTAGTTCTAATAATATTTACGATAAAAGCCGTTGTAGTCGCTAGTTCTAGTTAGATCTGTAGAATCAAAAAATGTGTAGTTCTAATTTGTACTCCCAAAGAACTGCGAACGGATTGATAATGTACCGGAAATTTTAGTTCTAAATTCAGCCTAGTAGTTCTAATAATATCTACGATAAAAGCCGAGGTAGTCGCTAGTTCTAGTTAGATCTGTAGATTCAAAAAATGTGTAGTTCTAATTTGTACCTCAAAGAAATGCGAACGGATTGATAATGTACCGGAAGTTTTAGTTTTAAATTCAGTCTTGTAGGTTCTAATAATATACACGATAAAAGCCCAGGTAGTCGGAGTAGTTTTAGTTAGACCTGTAGATTCAAAAAATGTGTAGTTCTAATTTTTTATTTGTACCCCAAAAAACTGCGAACGAATTGATAATGTACCGGAAGTTTTAATTCTAAATTAAGCCTTGTAGTTCTAATAATATCTACGATAAAAGCCGAGGAAGCCGTGGTAGTTTTAGTTGGATCTGTAGATTCAAAAAATGTGTAGTTCTAATTTTTATTTGTACCCCAAAGAACTGCGAACGGATTGATAATGTACCGGAAGTTTTAATTCAAAATTCAGCCTTGTAGTTCTAATAATATCTACGATTAAAGGCGAGGTAGTCGTAGTAGTTTTAGTTAGATCTGTAGATTCAAAAAATGTGTAGTTCTAATTTTTTATTTGTACCCCAAAGAATTGCGAACGGATTGATAATGTACCGGAAGTTTTAGTTCTAAATTCAGTCTTGTAGTTCTAATAATATCTACGATAAAAGCAGAGGTAATCGCTTAGATCTGTAGATTCAAAAAATGTGCAGTTCTAATTTTTTATTTGTACCCCAAAAGAACGGCGAACGGATTGATAATGTACCGGAAGTTTTAGTTCTAAATTCAGCCTTGTAGTTCTAATAATACCTACGACTAAAAGTGAGGTAGTAGTAGTAGTTTTAGTTAGATCTGTAGATTCAAAAAATGTGTAGTTCTAATTTTTTATTTGTATCCCAAAGAATTGCGAACGGATTGATCATCTACCGGAAGTTTTAGTTCTAAATTCAGTCTTGTAGTTCTAATAATATCTACGATAAAAGCAGAGGTAATCGCTTAGATCTGTAGATTCAAAAAATGTGCAGTTCTAATTTTTTATTTGTACCCCAAAGAACGGCGAACGGATTGATAATGTACCGGAAGTTTTAGTTCTAAATTCAGCCTTGTAGTTCTAATAAAACCTACGATTAAAAGTGAGGTAGTAGTAGTAGTTTTAGTTAGATCTGTAGATTCAAAAAATGTGTAGTTGTTCTAATAATATCTACAATATTATCCGAGATAGTAGCTAGGTTTACTCAGATCTGCAGATTGATTAATTTGTAGTTCTAATTTTTTTGCACTCCACGGAAAGATGAGGCACTGGCTTTTTTAGTTCTAAATTTAGCATTTTAGTTCTAATAATATTTGCGACTGTAGGTCCTAGACTAGATTTAGCTCTAAAGATTTAAAAAATTGCTATATTTGAACCTCAAGGTACATAGTTCTATTTGAAAAATTCCGCTATCCTTCATCGGAAACAGTCACGCGCAGGTAATCTTTTCGCAGATCGTTAGTTCTACCAGTGATGATTCTACACTTTTACCTTCGTTAAAACTGGCGGAATTATGGTTCTAAATAAGTTCTAAAATTTTTCAACTGTAGGAACATCATAGGAGCCCACAATTTTTGCTAGGTTTCCTTAAAGTCCATAATAGTTCTACTAGTGGCATTCTAAAGTGTGCTACTTTAGACTAGTTCTAACACACTACGAAAAGCTCGATCAATTTTAGGCCTACTACAGATATACACGTGAAAAATTGATTTTCTAGTTTACTTCGTCACGTTTGCTAGCACCAGTTCTAAAGTTATATAGAATATAGAAATATTTTTACCCGAAGTTCTTGAGTTCTAATTTTTAGTCTTCTTCCGTTCTAAAGCTCCATTTGTGAGTGTGAATTTTTTAATTTGATCGGTTGAGAATAAAAGATCGTGAGGGTGAATAGATTTTTTGCAAGTGATCTGTTGAAGTTGAGGGGGGGGGGTATTTTTAGTGATGATTACTTGGAAGTAAAATCAGTTGAGCGAGTGAAATTTCATAAAAATGATCTTGTTTGCTTCCATTCCCTAGCGATCACTTGCATGGTGCCACGTTGTCACGTGGGGGGGGGGGGCGGGGGGATTATTCCATACCACCGGACCTCGCGGTGCTGCGTTCTCTGCAGTACGGAGGAAAGCCAGTCCTTAAGCCTAAACTGTGTCCAGAAGAAGGTATTATCGAGGGGTGGGGCATTGGGGTTGATCAGGTCCTTGTCATGTTCAAAATTGAAGTTGAATTCATGGAGGGTGGGGGGGGGGGGCTTGGAGATAACTAAAATTGTAATGG